AAAAAGATACGTGGTGTTGAAGCTTAAAGATAAAAAAAAATTTTAATATCTTCAAATCCGTCAACTGGAATGAACTAAAATTTGGTATGTGGATTTACCTAAGTATTGTCCACATTCAAAACTCTTTACTTAAAATTACCGGGCACCAGTGGCGGAGATACAGGGGATTAGTGGCATTATTTTTCCAAATAAAAACAATACGTCACTGTTTTCTTAAACGCGCAATACAATTTGTTACAAATAATTACTCTTGTGTTTTTTCCTAGATTGCACTATTTTCTTAAAACTAAAAAAAATTAGATCATTCATGAAGAACCAAGATACAATAAGTTTCAAAATAAAATCGGAGGCTTTGATACCAACTTGGCGTTCCTTGACAGATAGTTTGTCAAAGTTATGTGTTATATGGTTGTTATCGCTACTACTACAATTTTTTTTGAGCTCTCCAGGAAAAAATGTTACATAGAAGAACCCCCTTAAAATGCGGTTCTGTGTATGATGTTTCATTTTTGGTCACGACTTGTGAATCACCTTAAATGTGAAATATGATTACGTCAAAAAATTGAGTTATACCGCCTACAACCCCCAACCCCCAATTTTTTACTTCCACAAAGATTGCAAAACTACTTCATTCCTGGTATATTCAAAATCCTACTGATACTTTATGACACGGTTTTTCGTGATGTACATGCCATATAACATCCAAAATATACTTCCTTATCAGTTTGGAAATAAAACAGGGAAAATCAACCTCTATCATCTCGTATGCGACTGAGGATGATAATTCCAAAGTCAATTGGGTGATCTCCCACTAAAATGTCTCAATAGTTCCAACTGTTGCTTTCAACTTGCGTATCGGTGTTTCTTATAATTCGTTTGACATCAAAATTAGCGCTTTAAAACTTTACTTTGACTTTTGTTTTTCGACTAGAAAGGTGTCATTTCGACCAAAGGAGATCTCGAATATTTGCTTGGGATGGAAGATACAATGATAGCAACCAAGCTGTTGCTATATAGTCTTTTTTAATGGAACATGACCTTTATTTCAGGAATTATAATTTCCATGATAAAAAGCCCAGGGCGACTCATTCTAGTTATATAACAAACCTCCAAAGTCATCAAACTTTTTTCTTATTTTCAATTTCGCGTTGTATTCTTTGTACAACGCAACAATTGTATTTCTTTATTTACATTTAGATTATTTGCCGTGCGGCCACAAGCACAGAAGGAGCATGCTTCCTTTTTTACTCCGCTTAAGTAGATTAACTCTGGGACGTGATAGCCAGAGATTAGTTTAGCTTGTAGCTACAAAAAAATGGCATCGTCTTGGTCTCTGGCCTACTGAAGAGTCGCTTCCACTGCCAACTAATCTAGTAGTATCAAAGCTTGATGAAACAGTGAAAAATAGGTTAACTTTCTATCTAATCTATTATTTTCACACTTTGACCTTAAACTACGCAAGCACAGCCTATCGGGAGTAAGATTGAACATCGCCACCATTATTACTGTTTCCGCTTTCCTTTACATTGAATTACATAATTGTACAGGTTGGCGGGTAACTAACTCATTTGATTCTTTAATATCTTTTAAATAAAATCAAGGAGATCCAATTTCTTACAAAAGATATGAGTTATGACTGCATCTGGAAACCTGAGAATTATTTCTATACGATTTCACCAGACATTCATCGATTTTTTAGGTGTGTAACACGATGCTCTTTCCTGTTGGAACTACATCTCTTGTAGGTTGAATTGACAAAGGACCAGAGTCTATAAGCGGGGGTTTTAACCCTGAAAATAACTCAAATTTCAAGTTGACCCCGTTTACGGAATTTTTTCTATTGAATATTTTACAACGTATGTGTTTTTAGCTGTCATCAACATTTTTTGTTTTATTCCAGTATTAGATTTTTTAAATGATCAGGGTTCATAATTCCCGCATTTTTTTCCAAAATCCACCCATTTTTGAATATTTAACCCTAGTTTTTTTTATATTAGCGCATGGCTATTATAGCAAACCAAGACCCGGTTTCTCAATCGCTTAACTATCAAGTTAGGTAACAGACAATCTTGGAGTCCTACCAGCATGAAAACCACAGGATAAGTTCCCGGTATTACATAAATTAGTTGGTTCTATTTCATTTAATTTCAAAAGTATTATAGAAACAAATGAGTCAGTTACATATATATTGGTCATCTGTATTTTCATTTACTGTTTCGCTCACCTACCCGCACAACCACGCGGCCGGTTATGGCCACTTGCTGTAGTACTTTAAGGTATCTATATAAAAAAAAGTAGGAAAATAATGGGCACAATCCGCAAAAAGGAGGAAAGTTGATTCGAGCAGAAAATAGAATAGGTAACCCGAGCGATACTTATTTCTGCTGGTTGGCTTCATCAGGCTCGCAATGAATGCACATATGCAACTACAAAAGTAGATACACATGCCCATAAATCCAGATACGGGTGTAACCAGAGGAAACGAAGATGGAGAGGGAAAAAAACGACACACGAAGTCCACAACAAGAGCCAACCTACATATACAGTGCTTTTCTTTAATGCCCCCCTCCCCTTTAGTTTTTTGATCGATTCAAAAAATCAAAACTTGAGGTAATGAAATTGATACGTGGATACCATACTTTGGAGTGAAATTGACAGATGAAAATGTCAAGATGGCCGCTGGGCGCCATCTTGGAAAAAAAATATATGAAAACGGGGGTCTTGTGGCACATCATTTTGAAGCTCCTGACGAGTACTTTATAACCCTAGAAGTCAATACTTTTACCTACTACAAAATAGTGGTACATTTAATAACTACATGAATACATTGACATTTACGTTGAGTTCAGTTTAGAAGATGCTGGAAATGGTTGCCATGAACTCCTTGACACAATAACAGCCGGTCCGTAATTTCGCGTCGAACATTTTCAAACATAATAACATCGATATTTCTACAAATATTTGTTATTCTCAGCCGCATATCCAATATTGAAGCAGGTTCAGTTTCGTACACCTTTTGCTTCAAGTAGCCCCATAAAAAAGTCTAAAGGTGTCAAATCTGGCGAGCGAGCTGGCCATTCCTCAGGACCTCGACGGTCAATCCAACGACCGGGGAAATTGTTATCTAAATAATTCCTAACTTGTCTGTAGTAGTGTGGTGGAGCACCATTTTACTGGAATACAATATCAGTATCGAATTCAATAGGATTCGCTTCGACGATTTAGGTGATTAGAGGGTCCAATAGTATTTTCCAGCATATCCAAATACAGTTCCCGGTTGAAGTTTGTTCGATGAATTAGAGGCCCCACAATATGATTTCCCAATATCTCAGCCCAATGCACATTACCGTTGAGAAAAAATGTACATTCATCGCTAAAACAAATATTTTGGATATAGGTAGGATGCCGTGAAATAGTTTCCGTCATAATCTCGGAGAATTATGTTCTTCGATGAGGGTTATCTTCAGTTAGCTGATGCACCATTATAATTTTGTATGGGTGATACTTATTCTTGTTCAAAAGTCTCCATACAGTAGAAGGACAAACCTCACATACATTCACGATGGAGATGGTAGACTGTTGGGGATTTATTATGATCTCACCAATTATTTGAACTTGCTTTCCTTCCGGTATGGTCGGATGACCTGGGGGCTTTTTGTTGTTTACACTACCAGTAGCTGTAAATTTAGATAAAAGTTCCCTTTAATATTTCTACAGATAGGACGATTCGGGAAACGATCATTAAAAATCCTTTCGGTCTCGTGAAAGTTACGCGTCGCACCATAAATAAAAATTGCTTCGATTTTTTCTTCTTATGGACGAGAATTGACCATTTTAAAAATAGTTCAAACAGTATCTAGCACAAAAACCGAAAACTAAATAAGAATATTTCAACTGGACAATGATGTTTATTTTCGTACTCATATTCTTGTCACTGTCAACAAAAAATAACAAAACAAGTTTTTATCGCTGTTGCTGTGGATACGGCAGGCAATTACAATTATTTGTAGAGATATACATGTTAGTGGGTTTGTGTTCAATAATTATTAAATTTTTCATTAATAAAATGTTGTTGTTGACAGCTTTCCTCCTCTACAAGATGGAATAGTCAAATTTTCGATACAAGGTTTTCTTTTTCGACCTCCATCACCGACTTAGTATTTCATATGGACGCTATATTGGAATTTTGCTCATTTAGATGGACTTTTCAGTACTAAATTCAGTGATGTATTTCCTTAGATGGCCATGAATTTGTTGTTGGATGAAAATTATAAGGAAATAAAAAGGTATGGTGAAACCTGAACACAACATGAAGATTTTATTGATGGTAATAACAATAATAATCACAAATAAGCAGAGATAAATCATAGCAAAAATGTCCCTTATTCTGTAGGCAAGACCTGTAGATTTTTGAGTGCTCGATTTATTTTTCATCTGCTCAGTCTCCCAAACTTGGTTGCTATGTTCAGTTTGAGGTTTGATCTGGTATATGAAATAAATCAAATCTGATAATTGCAAGGCCTACCTAGGAATTCCTGTTTTTTCTGTAATAAATACGATTTTTCCACGGCAATGTCAAATATTATCCATTTTTGAAATCACAGTTAAAAACTCCAATATGACATCCATAAGAGAAAATAAAGTTAATGCTGGATGAAAAGAGACGAAACGTCATATTGGAATTCTAACTATGTCATCTTGTACATAGAGTAGAAAAAGGGGCAATGTAATGTGTAATTAAAAAAAACGTTTGTGGAAATTCGGTTTTTTCGTCTCTCTCCCGAAGTACTTTGAATTTCGCAACTTTCTAAGTCGCAATTTTTCCCCCATTTAACCGATTTCGTATCTCTTACAGTTTTTGAGATCCCAGTGGTGAGGAACGAATTTGAAACACTCTCTATACGTTACACGAACTTAATCTGTTTGGTGTGAACCACACGTACAAATGGACGCGTACCTTAAAAACGGTACACATGTTGATAAAACATGTTTTGTTTCAGATATTCCAATTGTCACGCTCAAGATGGGCTCAACGTTGAACCCAGAGGATATTAAAGAAGGAGACGATGTATATTTTGAATGCAATATCCGGTCCAATCCCAAAGCCCACAAGCTCTCATGGTTTCACAACGTAAGTACCTTATACAGTTTTATGGTTATAAAATAATCTATCTAAACAGGTTTGACAATTGATGAGGAACAGATATTGAATTTGAACAGTAAAATACCTTTACACAGTTGATATTCATAATAGTTGGAAGGAGATCATGTAATAAGCGTCGGATGATACTACCAACTAATATGTCCATAAATTGTACTACGAATGTTTGTCAAGGCCGAATAAGTGAAATAACAAAGAAGAAGTTGTCACTTGTATATTTGTAGCCTCACGCACTGATACGTTAGCAAGACTCGATAGGCATGTCATGTTGGCCGATAGGTGAGGATTGTAATAAAAGATTTGAATGAAAGAATTATACAAAATTAATATGGTGAACGTATAAAAGTAAACAGGCACATAAAATATATTCATTTAAATATCACTAGCTCTCATTGGAGCCCTTTAACATATCAAAATTTCATCACATGACATAATGAGAAGTTTCAAATAATTTGAATACACATATCTTTATGTCATAATAGCCCAATTGAGGCCTCACCCAGCGAAATCGATAGAAATCTTGAAGAATTACCACGTTCAAACGTCATATACGAGTGCTTCTCCGATTCGAGTCGGCAACGAGTCAAGGGATACAGCTAATATAAACAAAAATTATTACCTTGTTCTGAATAATCACTTAACTCTGAAGCGGAGGTTTATAGCTAGTAAATAATTGAGCAATGAATTGACGTTTGTGATTCTGGGTTTTTATATAATACCTTAACACTTTTATAATGATATTAATTTAGTATTATCGCGCAAATACCATTTTTTTTGTCACCCACGATTCACAGAGGTGAACAGGGGTTAACGATAACTTTACCCCAACGTAAGACATACTGGGCAACACAGGGATGTGGGTTATAGAGGTATTCGAACCATGATGAGTCAGTTGTAGAGTTTCACTGATAATTCATTAGAATCATCTTAGTAAGGCTATAAAAATGCTAATTATCTGTCGGTCAAGTACCAAAATAGCGTAGCGCATCGTATGCTGTAAGCGGTGTGTAGTGTAAGAGTTTTTTCTTTTTCTCGAGTTTACTTTCTAACATTTTCAACTCGCAGTCGAGATTCCGGAAACAGACGTATACTATATCAATACTTTTAGAACAAAAGGCCTAGGAAATTACATTTCTTCGTAATAAACTGAATTACGAGACCTGCTTATTTAATAAATTCATGAAGTCATCAATAATGCAGCCAATTAGCACATGCAACATATTAACTAGTCTAAGACAGTTTGAAACATAAATGTGTCTTCAGTTTGCGTGCTAACTTTATAAACATTTCAGTTTGAAATACCTTTTTTATAAACTTTAAGGCTCATCTGTGACCGTGTACAAATGTCAGCTCTAAATATGTATTCACTAGAGTACAAAGAAATCCTGAAAAAAATGCTTTCTTCGCAACAAAATGTGATAGACACATCCGCTTTGTTTTAAAATGTGCATAAGAACGTGTATTTTTCGAATATCATAGCGAATCTGTTCAATTGCTCACAAATACAAAATGTTTGAATTTGTTTAGAAGAAAAAGCGTAACCCTTCGTTTTTCCCATAAAAATATCAATTATCTTTCGGAATGGCCTGTGAATCATATCGGCAAGGTAAGCTAGTGTATTTTGCTATAAAATGCCCTTTGGACGAACTCTGTATATTGCTCAATAAACTAGTAGTGATGGCCTGAAGACAGGTGTTTTGGGATAAACAATTAGATTTTCTCAAAAACTACTTGGACCAATCGACTCCAATTTTGTTGTGGTTACAAGTATGAAACTTACGGATTTTAATAATTTCAAGTAGCTGCGCGAAATTATCGTCGCATTAGCAGCAAGCGCCAAAACCTTCATTTTGCATGGGTTTCCGGCCATAACTTTTTTACTACTAGTGGAATCTTTTTACGTGTTGTATCATTCTGTAGGTCTCATAAATACCTAAAAATCTTATTCAAAAAGCTTTTTCGTTCCTGTCAACACTTTTGAATCCCAAAAAACGCGTTTTCTTATTCTTGGTTGTCGAATAAAAAGTTTTCCCACAAAAATAGATGTACCCATTTTATGCGTCCACGTTTTAAATACCCTCTTGAACAACTTGCATCAATAAAACCAGACTTTACCATTATTTCGGAGAAATTGGCTAATATGATTAAACTTCTCTTTCTTCCATTTTGGTACTTGACTATAACTCTAATAAATTTCGTAAGTTGTGTAACCAGCAAGGTTCTGGGAGTATGGTCATGATCTTTACTTCAGCCTAAGCAATAGTAATTCTGTTCTAGGGTGTTGAAATATACCAGAATGTCACTGCAGGAATCATCATGAGCGACCAGAGTTTGGTCCTTCAGAACGTTGGAAGAGCAACGGCGGGAAAATACACCTGCATGGCTACCAATTTGGAGGGCAAAGGATCTAGCAATAATGTCGTGCTTATAGTGAAATGTAAGTACTGATCGTATACCATGCATTTCAGAATCGAATTCAAAAAAAATTATACAAAACCATGTAATAATTATGATTTGAATTCACCATGGATTGTACCAGTGTTGACGGCGTAGTATCGCAATTCCGTCATGCAATATATATTTTATTGTCTATTCATCATTTAACTAGAGTTCATGCAAGATCCGTCATTGAATCAGTGCCTACTTCCTGGCCGCTTGACAAATTGCTAGTATTAATCACGCTCATCTGCAATTTTCGATAGAGTTATGAACGTGTTGCGCTTTAAAAATCGTTCAATTTTTCAACTGGTATAACGATACCGTTTATAAAGTGCAGGCATTTTATTCATTTTTTGTCATACTCATCTATATATCGATCAGATTTTCGGCGATGTTGCCAGATGTGGGTATGCCTCTTAGAACAATCTTCCCTATGCCGTATTTGAACTATTTGCAATGCTATGCAAAGTACCTGTGTTCAGTCTGTTATGATTTATTATTATATATATATATATACAGACGAGCTGTTGCTTTTGTTACAACTCTACAGACAATGCTTTTCTGATAATGACAACAGTTTTTTTAGACTATCAATGTCACAACCAATAGGTAAAGGTGAGACGAAATCTTCTCGACCTGATTTTTGAACTGACTAAGGTAAGCAAAGTGAGAAAGCCTCTTGTGGTAGATAATAATAATAATATACATACATATCCATATACACATACATACACATATATACATATATATATACATATATATATAGCCATATCATGTACTGTTCACACATAAATATATAACAAACGAAAGCCTCTAGAGAAAGGCGTAATAAAAGTCAAAGATGTGAACGCACTTCGTAATTCCTGAAATCCACTACAGAAGATATCACAAAAGCTCGCAATCTTATTCGCATTATTGCACATAAAGTTTATTGGTGCTTTAGATAGAAGATTTGTCTGCGCCCTCTTGCAGAAAAAGGAAACTTTATATTTAGATGTCAATCTAGGTACCAGGAAATTAATTTGCGATAGCAAAACAGGACAGTCGATGTTACCATGCAGTAATTTGTATAAAATTATGATGGACGCCTGTTATCTGCGCTTCTCCAAAGAAGGGACGCCAAATCTATCCAATAATAGTGAGTAGTCATATCCTCTTGGCCAATATACACCATCACTCCTATAGCATAGATATTTTAGAAATTTCTTTTGCACTTTTCCATCATTATTTTTGTATAGTTCATATATATAACTCCAAATAATTGCACCGTATTCTGATTTACTTATAACAAGCACTGAAAATAACTAAATAAGCGTTGTGTTATTGAAATTTCTACAATTTCTGATAATAAAGCCATATTGGCGATGAGCATTACTTATAATTTCACTGATGTGGTAGTTAAAAGTGAGGTGACAATCGAAATAGATGCCCAAATCTTTGAAGGTTTCACACCTTTCCAATACAGAATCATTTATTTTGTATGAGTAAGTTAAAAATTTGTCTTTCCGGGTGAAGGTAAAAATGCGGCATTTAGAATTGTTCAAATACAAATTGTTATTAACACACCATGTTTGTGAAAAGATTAGCTGTTGTTGGAGGTTTTCACAATCCTGCCAGGGAGAAACACATGCGTAACGCTTCAGATCATCAGCAAACATAAGCTTCTTGCATGTTAATGTGCTGCAAAGATCGTTAACGTATAAGACGAACAATAGAGGGCCCAAATTGGAGCCCTGAGGTACACCACTACTTGACATTATACAGGGTCTCCAAGACGAGGATCCTATGCATGGGGATCTGAATACCGGTGAGGGATACGGCTTAAGTTAAATTAGGAAAAAGCTACGTTCTTTGGAGCGTAGTTACCTGCCGTTGAGAAGTTTGTAAAAATTTCATGGCTTACTGAGGTATTTAAGAAAAGCTGATCTTTAGCCAAATCGTTTTTCGTGTTTTCACAAAATTCAAAAACACCATCATGTAGTGCCTAAAACGTGACATGCATGGCCAAATTTTAGTATTTTCCCAAAATCTCAGTAAGCCATGAAACTTTGAAGTATCTCAACATCATGTAAATACGCCGCATAGAACGCAACTTTTTTCTAATTTAACTTAAGCTGTATCTCCCACAGATGTTGAGATTCCCATGCATAAGATCCTTATCTTAGACACTCTGTATATTTTCCAAATGACTGCTGCCGAAATGATTTCAAAGTTCTGTGGATCGGTTTTATCTTAAAGGAGGTAAGGTGAAAAACGTGTAACAAAGAACATGTTGTGGATAAAACGGTTCCCTACAAAACACCAGCCTTGCGGTTGTGCAATAAAGCAGAGCGGACCTTAGAGCAGTAGTTTTCAAGTTGTATTAGCTTATTATGGCAACACTGTCAGCCATTACAGGCGGTTTTTACCGAACCATCGATACATCTATTTCCATATTCAGCAAAGTGTACGACTCTTTCGTTCTCTGGGAATGCTGCCCGCCTATCTAATAATTTAAACGGCGAGGCTGTACAACATAGTAGCTCCATGTGAGCGATTACTGAAAGGCAAAAAGAAAATTCACTCGGCAATTCGGCGCCGCATGATGTGAAGAGTCGATATACAGGGTGGTCCATAGTAGATGCACAAAAAGCGATCCTACGTTAAAGTGATGAAAATATTGAGCACAATAACGCTAATTGATGAGACGCATGGTGCCTCAGCTTTATTATTGGAATCGGTATTTCTGTATAGCTCAAGCTGTTTTAGTGAAATCAACCAGCAGAAAAAATTGCCGATCCTGATGTCGAGAAATTCAGTTATCTCATGTTTTAACATAATTAGTAATTGTCATGCTAATTTATGTAGTATTGTTCTATTATATTTTTTTGAATCTGTCGGCCTTATATTATAAACAAATTATTTCAGAGATATATGCATTTCAACATTCTCTCTTCTGTTATCACTCAATGCAAATAGTTCTAAAAAGATAAAGTGTAAAGCTAAAATTTGAAGAATTGCAGGCTTAGAGAATTTGCAAAAATTTCTAAAATGTTCTACCGGTGCAAATATTTTAGGATAGTATGTTAATGTACCATCAAGAGATCGCAAAATGTGAAAAACAGAAGGACCGCAAGCTTAATCTAGAACTACTTTCTGGAGCATCCATTTTGGACCACCCTGTACGTTCACTGATGGACTGCCGATGCCGCTTCATCCCCATATCCTTTCACATTTCTAGTTTAATTGGAGGTATTGAAACTGCCAGCGACATCCAATGCCCACATATCCGATTGCACGCTAGGAGTTTTTGAATTGACGTCCTCAGAAATCAGCGGCAATCCTGGTGGACATCGTTGTCAAACTCTGACGGTCTATTGAATAGTGAATTTTGATGTTGATGGCTGCAGAATCAGATAAGGTCTCCAAAATGATGATTAATATGAGATATCTACCGTTGTCAATACGATTTTTAGTGTCGACTTATACCACCTGGGGCGCAATATGTGGTATCATACAAAAAATACTATTTTGTAGTCCAGAAAGCCTTTTTGCAGCCGCTTGGAACAATGCTGTGAATCATTTTTTTGAATAATCTTATCCAAAAAGGATTCTTTTCAAGGAATCTCCATCATGCCAGGCCCAATATTGCGTCAAAATTATTGAAACCGTTTTTTAAACAGGTCACGTTCTTCGCTCGGACGATTTTTTTTCTTTTGTTTTTTTGAGTCACTCTGTACAACAAAAGTTTTCCAAAGATGATAGTTTTTGAGGTAAAAGCGCTTTATTGTTAAGTGAATAGGGGCGGCCGCATCTCTCTTGCTTTCACGCAGATTATTGATTGATTCACAAATAGAAAACAAAGGCTTAGAAGAACAATATTGTCCAAGATTTTGTGAATAAATTTTTGGAGGATTATTTCGGAAATGATATTTTGCACACAAAGAACCCGAAAGAATTAGATTATAAGAGGAAACATCAATGTTTCAATTTCAAATCCACCAAATTGATGGGCCGTTATGATGTAAGCCCTTGCTTTATAGGAATAATTGTAATTAGTTATATAAGCCCTTTGGATAATAATCAAGCTTCAATAATAGTGGGTAATGAACAATGGAAACAGCAATTTTCTGAAATCAATATATTACAAGTCTCCCGCTTCTTAAACGTCACATTTTCCAGTTCGTCCAGCCTCCTTATTGAAGTCCTCTGGATTCATGGCCTCTTCAACATCCCTCTTCCAACTTCTTGGAGTCATACCACTTTTCCGATGCGCTGGCGGTATCCAGCCATAAACCTTTTCTGGCCCCTGGAGTTGTCGACATGGGCGCCCGCAGGCATTTTTCTCAGGGCCTGCCGGCGACCATGGTTTTCGATAAGTTACCGGAACAGTACCAAAGAAATTGCTATCTCTAACATGTTGTCATCCACGTCCATAATTTGTTTTCAATTCTAACATGTTTCAGTCGAGAGACCTGCAAACTTTTTCTCCATTAATACATTTCTCGAGATGTCAATATATCTTTATTTACTTTCGTCATGTCCCACAATTATGATAAATAAGTACAAACACTTTCTAGTATTGCGTTTAGTATCAGTTTCTCCGTTTTGCTTGTCACCTCCATAAATTTGAATTTAGTTGTCTAGTTGCTTTTCCCCTTTGCTATTTTATTTAAAACACCTCAGCTGCTCTTGCCCTTTGCAATAAACATTACTCCCAGGTATTTGAAAGATGTAGTGTCCTGTATTCTATGGTTTTCGACATTCAAATCATCAGTATCACTGTCACGTGCGTATACTCTGTTTTACAACACTTATTGTTAACAAAGACAGCCACAATTTATGCATTTTGTGCCTTTTCTGCTTCAAGACACCTTATTGATCGACCCAAAACAAAAAACTAGTTTCTCATCAAATAGTTGCCACAGACAGGACATGGCTTTAAGGCTGTGCTAGAACTCGCGCCATGCCATCTTGTTGAAGTCAAATTTTCTGTAGAGCAATAATATATCATCATAGTGCGATAACGT